CCCCCCCCCCGTTTTTCTTCTTACAGCACTTTTGTTGTGTATAACTTAAAAGTAAGACACAAGAGCCTTACCTAAAGTAGATCTGTTTCTACTAACGAGCCAACAATGGTACCCAAACAAAAACATAAGGCTTACGAAGAACATGATCGCCACAAAGAGAAGGAAAAGGACATGAAACTTGGAACGTCCATTGGTCAGTTCTCCCTGGAAAGAAAAGCAACAAGTTATAAGAACAAATAACAGCGGGAAGTTCTTTGTTCCTAGAGAGAAGAAAGATATCATCTAAAACTCCTATGTGGAGTCCTCCCACCTTACTGTATAAAGCATGAAGAGACAAAGGAATGATCTGGTTCGTTTCCCCTCCTGTAGCCAAAGCAGAAGGAGGGGGGCTTCGCTACTAACTTTCCCCATGCCAGAGAGGCAGTACAATGACCGCTTCCCACCCGGGCACGAGAAACGCCCCATGCCCACAGGGAAACAAGCAGGCACAAGCTCTCAAAGCCCTGTTTGCGTTCCGCTGAGTTTCCTGCGCGTCTACTAAAATTCTGCACCTCCTGCAGAGGTGAGGCACGCCAAGAACACCTGGCCTCCACGGCTACAGCCATCAGGTAGCGTTAGACCTGAGCAGAGATGGTTTGGAAGAGTTTCAAAGCCAAGCGGGATCTTACAAGCACAAGAAACACTTCTTTCCTTCTACAGTAGGAGAGTCAAGTGCCAGAGCTCCTCATAGCACAGAGGTACAGCCAGGCTGTGGCACCTCCTCGTGACCAAATGCCTTCTCAGCCTTTGCACATCCCATATATGCAGCCACAGAGCTCAACCCTCCGGGCCTTTCTTAGCACGAGAAACAATTCCTGCCAGTGTCCCAGGAGCCTCTCAGGAGGCATTTTATGGAAGTGGTTAGCCGTTAAAACAACAGAAATGTCATAAATGAAGGCACAGCAAAGTTAAGTTACTTAGACACAGTCACACAGAGTTAGCAGCAGAGGGGACATAAAAAAACTGGAGACAAAAGGCCAGTCTCTTACTGGAACGGTCAGTTGGCATTGCTTGCATACGAACGATAATCAATAACTGAATAAGCAGCATAATTTATTTCAATCAACTTTTAAACTGAGAATGGAGTCATACGGGGATTAGAAAACAAGGTTTTTTTGATATGTTCAGTAAATATGTTCAGATCAGTGCAGGATGTTGTACTTCGATACCAAAGAGTCTGACAGGAAAATACCTTAGGGAAGAAATGCAGACCCTCCGTTGACTGAAAGCAAAAAAGTAACAAGAGTGACTAAACCCCACCAGACTCACAGGATAGGAAAAAGTAACCCGATTTCACAACTTACTGTCCAATAATTAATGAAATACTTGAAGACCGTAGACTGTTGCAGCAATATACAAGCAATACAACAAAGAATAGGCTAAGAACAGTAGAAAGAATTTGTAGTTAGAAAATCCAATGCAGTTATTCACCCTGGAGAACAAAAGCAAGGTTGAAATCAGGATATGTACAGCACACGGTGGTAACACAATGAGTACTATATTTTTGGGGGGTTTTATTAAGCCTCTTGATTAGACAACACAATTGCGTCAATAAATGGCTCCCCTTAGTGGTCAAAATTAAATCTCACTAAAGTCTTTCTGCTTTTCACTTGAGGACTTTGTGCTATGCTAAGTGCAAGGACAGTTCATGTATTTGGAATCTGTTTTAAAGTTGGTACCATTGGTAAGTTCATCCCAGAGGCAGGCTCTAATTCCTCCTGCCTGTTTCTTGTCTGCAAAGGGAATCAGATCTGGGATTTGTGTGTCACTTTACTCATCGGCAAAACTCAGGAGCCACATTCAGCGCTGCTTGTTTGGTTACATACAAAACAAATACACCCAAATTTGATAATAATTCTCCATGCACAGAACAACTCTAAAAAGGAACAAGGGAATGGAGAAGAAATAGTAGGTGTTTGTCTCAAAACTCTGGCTTGAAAAATCCTCTACCATTTAGGATTACCAGGGAGGTTCAGGTGGGGAAATGTTTGTGTTGCTTCTGATTCCTGATATCTCCGTTTTTTGTTTTGTTTTGTTTTGTTTTTTAAAAAAAAGGAGTTTAAGAAATTTAGTGGCAGCAATTCTCAGTAAGTATAAAGCTTAATTCATCCATGCACCATCTACACAAACCGTCTCTGACCATGCAGAGGTGGCAGGCATCCTTTCAGCAACAATCCGTGTGCAAATCTTATTATTGAAAGCAACACCCAACTGCATGCGGAAACACTTATATACCCCAAAATAAAGGCTAAGCTGAAGTCCCTTTAAAATTTGAATAATAGTCAAAGAATCAATTATTTAGGTTTTAAATTATGTTGATAAACCAGCTTTTTTACACATGGTTTCTGGAACAAATGTGAACTATCTGTCTTTCAAAATATTCAACTTGTGTAATTATTTTATAAATTTCCCAACATAGAGAGACATATGGTCTAAAATGAAAGAGGCAAACAGACACTATTCAGCGGAAGAAATATATTTAAACAGTCTCTCCTTTCAGAAAACTACAAACCAGTATTTAGAACATACCACGGACAGTGATGATCCATTTTTAGCACACATCTGCAAAAGGACAAACAAAGGAAAATTGAAGATTTTTATTTGGTATGTAACTGCCAACTGCAGATGAACAGCAAAAGACTCTTTTTTTTGTTAGATTTCTATGTGAAACAAACTAAAGACGATATTGTCTATTTGAATTAAGTTAGGTATAATTTTAAGATGGAACACATTACTTTTCCAAGATGAACCAGTGTCCTTGACACTCTGCCAGATAAAAAGAAATGAAAATGATTTCTTCACTAGAGGTCTTAATACTTTTGCAAAACAACACAGGTTAAGGCCTGGAATATTTAAAAAAAGTTAAAAAAAAAGTCAAAATCATACTCTATTTTAACCTGCTTAGGTTAATCAGTTAATTTTTACTAGACGGCACGTTTCCTAGCAACTTAACGCTGATACACGTGGAGGTGTGGGAACTGCAAACACTCCAGGGCCGCAAATAGCAGCAATGCAAAATGCCGACGCTGTCCCACAGGAACACACACGGGCGGCTGCAGCTGCCACAGGGGCACTTGGGGACGTTTCTGTGTACAACGGCACGTGAAGGACCAGCCCATCCCCATAAACTCAGTGGTGACTGTATTCACCTCAGTGAAAAACAATCCGGTAACTTACACAGCACAAACGGAACAGTGGTGACAACGGTCAGGTTTTATGAGCTGGCATCTATCACAGAATCGAATACCTGAAATTAAAGGCATATTAATACAAAATAATAGAAAAGTGTTCTTTTTTCACATTAATTAATATTCTGCTCGTTTCCTAACTATTCATATTCTTTCCTGTATCACCTCAAAAGATGACGGCATTTGCAGCTCATTTGTGCTGCCGGGTCATAATCAGACGAGCAAGGCTCATCATTCCTCTGGAGACTTACAGAAGCGGGGAACAATCCTCACTGCAAAGCATACAACCAGCTTAAAAGCCATAAAACAAAACTGTACGCTTCCCTCTGGTTTCCACATTTACTCAGACTGTACGTACATTCTGTTTTGTTCGTTGCCTGTAGAGCCGTTCTTGACTTCAGAATTCTTTGCCTCGTCTGACAGAAATTAACAGGTCAGAGCCTCCAATATATATGCACACAGATTTCTTTTAAGCTTTGAAAGGAGTGCAGTAAGCACGTAATCACAGAACAAGGTCCAGAAATCTGTTCACAGAATTATGTCCTGCATCTCTAAGCTAGGCTCAGTTTTACGTAAAAACAGTTACAGATTTTGCCATTCTGTTACTGAACGCAGACAACACAAGTAGGCTGTTGAATTGAAAATACAAAGGGTAACATATTGCTTCTCAAAGGCAGCACCTGGTACTCCGCCGAAGAGGAACAGAAGCGTTCAAGGCTTTTTTGTTTTCCCAGACATAAAACCTGAGAGAGAAGGCATCAACATTCCTGGCACAAGAGTTACTCAGGGCATGTAGTGGCATTAGGAACACCCCGTCGGACGGCAGTATCATCTGGACTGCCAGCACATCCTACTTTAGCCTGTTTGATTAGATTTAGAGAAACAAAGCTCTCTGCTCAGCTGACCTCCATTCCCCGTTCGTGTGTACACCGGCAACTTCCTTGCCATTTCAGAGAGAATTTGTCTCTGCACCTCCGGCCTTTCTTCATTTTCGTAGCGCTCTTTGTCAGCATAGGACATATGGTACTGGAAGCAGAATTCATGAGAGGAGCAGTTACCCATGGGGAGCAGAGATAATATTTCAAATAGAGGCAGGTTTGGAAACATTTTTACCTCCCACTCCTTCTAATGAGATTAATCTAATGTGAAAATGTGTTTGTTAAACAGACACAGAGAGATAGTAAGTGCTGGCCAGCCAGAATACTATGCGATACATCAATAAGAAGCACAAGAGTGAAATTAAGATCACAGAACAGCATACTAGAATTGTTACTACAGCTGCCTTAGATTACTGCCTTAGATTACTTTTCTACCAATCAACACTACTACCCATGATAAGGACACTTTAAGCATTTCCCTTGTGAGCAAGAACCTGTCCCCAGCTACAGTTTTATATTTCTAAAACTGGGATTAGTTGTTATTTATAAATTCACATTCTTGTAATTAGGATCAGAATACTGCCACGTATATTTGAAGGGCCACACAAACATCATCCGCATTCTATGGCTCCAAATATAGTGTTTTATTAGTATTTCATAAAGAGGTAATACAGTATGCAAAAAAAAATCTACCAATCCCAGCAAACGAAGTAGTAAATATTTGGTAGAAAAAGAATTGAAACACAAGTCTGCCTCTGACTGTCTTGTGCTCCAACTACTAAATCATACTCTTGTCCTAAAATACACCACCTGCATTAAAAAAACAATACCAAACCCTTCACTAAAGTATTATTCATGAACCAATCTAGTCACAGTCAACCCCAGTTTCTCTTTACCATAGTATGTAGTCACATTTCTCTTTCACGGTGCTGCTGACCAGGGAAGTAGAAGGACTGGAGCTACATGTATACCCAGCACCAAATTAAAAGCCATATGCTACGCACACAGCCACAGTCTTCACTGCCACAGACACACGACATCAGAATCTCAGCATGTTGCAAATGAAAAGGATTCTTCTGTCCCTCACTATCACAAGAAAGCGTCTGACAAATGAAGCAAACTTAACCACTACAAAGAGGCCTGCTCCGGCCGGCAAAGGACTCCCAGCAGAGCGGGCAGTGCTGGACTGCGGTGGGACACCGAATGTTCACACACGCACCACGACAACCTGGCTCAAGAGACCAAGACACCCCCCTGCCATTCCAAATGCACCCGTTCCCACCTGCACAGTAACATCTTCCATGAAGAGTGAAAACCAATCCCAAAGGTCCTTACTCAGGAGCCTCCAGCAAGGCCAGGTTAAGGAAGGACCTCAGGATTTGGCTCGCAACATGCTAAATGCTTGGAGATCAACGACACAATAAATATGGAAGTTAATAATCAAGCATCCTATTATTCTCAGCATGAAAAATCTATCAGCTCCCGGAGCACCTGGAAAGGCAGCTTGAAAAGTTAACACCATCTCTGATTTAAATCATGCTTTCAGGGGAGTTAAAGGATTCTCTGAATGGTAAATGACTTGGTTTTTATGGACAACTCTAGGTCACTTTCCATCTCTTTAGGAAATCTAATCAGTTGTCCAGATCAACTAGACTGAAGGATTTTTAGTTCTCTTTAGCATCCCTGCTTTCGTTCTACAATGAATGAAAAGTACTTGGACTCTTACCTTTTTGCCTGGCTGCACCGGGGGTGTAAAAATAGACTTCCAGTATGTCCACACAAAGAGTACAAAGAGAATATGGAATATTGTAAGATAGGCCACTAAAAAAGAAAACCAAAAACAAAAAACAGAAGCAGAACAATGACTTCTTAAGCAAAAATTTCATTCATGATGGGCATAATTCCAATCTTTCACAACAATAACAAAAAATAAAGGAAGAAAAGGAAGATTTATAGTACCAACGAGTATTACAATACAGCTAAACCTTATGGTCAAAGGGTCAGTAGAATTTCAGAGATCTGTGGCTGGAGTTGGGGGTTACCTATCTCACAAGCCTCCCCTTCTCCACCGGATGCGATTCCATGGGTGAGGAAGAACACAGGTAGAGACTTTACCCACAGGGCTGGTGATAACCCTGTATCACCGGGAATGACAGAATTCCTGTATCTTTCCCATATCCCAGGTACAGGCAAAGCAGAACTGGCTGGTGCTGAGCAGCATAAATGTTAATGCTGTGATACTTCCACATCTCCAAATTTTGGGTTCAGTTGCTACTAAATGCACTCAGAATCACAGCACCATATTACCAGTGTACTGTCCACTCGTGCAATGCATTCTTCAGCACTTGCAAGAGCTGAAGAGAAATAACATGCTCTAGTGGAGCTTTACATTGCCTGAAAAAATCTAATCTCTTATTAAACATCTTTTAGATTTGCAACGTTGATCCAATAAAACAAATCAGGAAAACATCCCCCAAATTGAGCAAAACAGGTCTTGTGATTATTCAGTGTATTCCACTAGAATACATTATCACATGAAATCCAGCATGCATCAGAGTAATCTTATTTCAATATGCAAACTTTATTTCACAGCCTGTGGGCATAAGCAGGCTTACCGTGGTTCAGAAAGCCAAAGGACAGCTACCCTTCAGCTGCACAAACTATTTGATTGTTCTTTCTTTAATATTTGATTCACTAAGACATTATTAGTTACAAGACAGTTTTATTTAAACACACCATTTAATCATAATAATAACCTCATTTTTGCCATTTCATTCAAGCTTCAAATTCTAGCAAACTAAGATTAAAGTAACTACTATGAGTGGAAAGAGAAGTCTAAAATCCAAACACTTCCTAACTTCTTAGGCAAGGCTGACTGTATGGAAATGTAATTGCCAAAAAGGCCAAACACAGCTTTGAGACTTTCTAATGAGATAGCAAATGACCTGATACGCCTCGCAAGAACGTGATGGATTGCGTGACTGATCTGTAAATCAATGATAATTCATTCTTACACTCTTAACTTTGAGATGTTATCCTTATACTACATGCAGGTGGAGCTCAGTCATTTTTTAATTAACATGTAAGGAGATAAATCTTACAACAGGTTTAATTTTGTTGATAAAGCAATACAGCAGCATGTTAGAGGAAGCTGACCTGGAGATGCACTAATAGATAAGGCAACTAATAACTTTCTTCTACTGAATAATCATTAACATCATGCTTTCTTTAGTTTCTCTGTAACAGTTTCAAATATTAGGACAGCTCTCTAGTGCAAAGAGAATTTACGTGGACCACCTTTAAAGTATCGGCTGGCGTTGTTCTTCATGGAACAATCTGCCAGCTGAAAACTGCTACACCTACTTCTACCCTTCTTAACCCTGGAAGAAGAAATGAAAGTTAGAGGCCGACTGTATTAGGCAAATGCCACCAAAGCACCTCCAGAAAGAGAAGGAAGAATACTAAAATGGCCACCAACCCCTTATTCTTAAAACACGACTGTGGCCTCCAACAGCACACCAGTGGAAACAGTCTCATCAACTGATCCTGCTACTCTGCCCAACTCGTTCAGTGACCTCACGACACTGCGTCTGGGACCTCAGCACCACGTCTGTCAGTCTGGACTACCAAATGAAACCGAGAGGCGTTCAAGCCAAATAACAGTGAGACAGAAACCTTTGCTCTAACTCATCTGTGGTAGTAACTGAGAATTACTGTGTTACTACTTAATATACAAATAGTGGTCAACAGAATCAAGAAAAAAATCTTCTGCAAAAGCCTCCCTACAAAAAAAAACACCTTAAAAAAAGCTTTCACTGAAAGATCAAATAAAACAGTGAAAAAAAATTGGCAGGCCACAGAACAGAACTAGTCTTTTCTGTTTAGCTCTTAAAATCAACCCTGAAAATGTAAAACACAAAGGGAGAAGAGGTGTGTGGGTGTGCACAGACAGACATACAGAGTTTTTTCTGAAAGAGTAAAAGGGATCAAGGCCTTTTCATGTTCTTCTGCTTATACTGCGACTAAACAGAGGCATTTCCCAATATATCCAAAAGTTATAGCAAGTCTAACAATGCATGCTGTATACTTCATGAATGTGTAATTACAGGAAGGAAACACTGAAAGAGTATGTTATTTTAAAAAAATTGACAGAAAGTGTTTTTGATATTATAACTAGAACATTTGTAAATCTTTTTACACAAGGACTGAATGTCAAAGGGTAAATTGAATGCACATACCTTTTTCCACAGGGTTGCTCAGAGTCACTGAAAAAGAAAAAACACACGTATGTGTACAGAGCAAATAGAATTCCCAGAAAAGTTTGTGACAAATAACGTTTCTATTTGAAATAGAGCTATTTTAGGAAAAAAGTCCAAATTCAACAGTCAAAAAGAGAGCACATGGTTAATCATAATATCAAAAGCATCCATAACAATTCCTTGTTTACTCACGCAAATGACACCCACAACAAGATGTTCAATAACTGCTGCTTATGCTGTACTTTCCCTTGTTATAAAATATATTTTGTATATGTGTACATTAGAAACACACACACAAAAAAATCCACTGCTGACAGTGATGTGACAAGATTACCAGGGCTCCTCTAGCAACTGCCCAAGCAGCATCTCTGTGCAGGTACTTATCAGCACGTACTCGTGGCCTGCTTTGTACTCGTCTGTAGCTGGTCTTGATCCTCCATTTGTAAGCCCTGCCCCGATGCATTTCTGCATCAGCGTAAATAAAAAATTACAAACTGTCTTGGCTTTGGTCTAGTCAGCAACAATGGATACTCTGTAATGACTCAATTATTTTTACACTTCCTCCTAGCAGAGTTTTTGCAACTCTTCCTTACTTTGCCATAATCATAGGAACAGTCCCTACTCACAGAACCACTCAGAGCAAACAGCAACCAGCAAAGGGTACACTGCTCAATGTCTACTTCTACTGATCATTATTAAATCCACCCATTATATTAAGAGCCATCATCCAAGTTTAACAGAAAAGATAAAGACATCTTTCTTAACTGAAAACAGAGCAGTTTGTGATATCTTGACAGAATACTGTGTGGAAGACAAAGATTGTTTGTGGGATAGGAGCCCCTTATATCAAGCCCATCGCCTTGAATCTCATGATTGCAACTGAAATGTGTTGCTCCTTGGAGGAACAGAGGAATGATGGCCAGAGAGTGGCCACAGATCATCTCCCACAGGCACAGTAATCTTACAAAAATATGATCATACTGTTGGAAGACTCAAAGATTTGAGAGATAGCACATACCAGTGGTGACCCCTTCAGTAACTCAGACAACAGAAAAAGCAGCGATTGAGGGATTGGAGCCTTTTACTTCTAGTCTACAGCCAGCAGCTGGGAAGAGACTCTACTCTCCAAGAGTCACTCTATCATCTTGAAAAACAAACTTGGAAAACGTAAATCAGAGTAGGAACCACGAGGTCCTGCTTTTACTAATGAAAGTAGCTTTTCTTAAAATGACACTAACAATTTTGATCTGCAAGCTTTATGATACACAAGAATGCAGATGAAAAAAAGAGACTAAATATTTGCTGTGTCTCTGCACACTCAATTTCAGATGTACAAGACAGTTAGTAAACCTTTAGTTTTTCCTTTTGTTTGCTGCAAATCAAACTATGAAGAGTACATCACCTTTTCACAAATACCGCCTGGTTCCCTCCTGAAGCACACGTCACACTTGCAGCATGGCCTTTCTAAGGATTTTACTTGAGAAAAGAGCAAACTCCTAAATCAAGATTATATAAAAGGTTTTATCGCAGGACACTTGGTCATTGTTCTCACTGTGGCAGCAAGCACCAACCAGAGATGAAACCAACGCCTCCTCTGGAGTATGACTTGTGGCCATACCAGTCACTGAAAGTTTAAAACCCAGTATCATGAGATACCTCTTGGATATCACCACCACACTACTTTCAATCCTCAGCAGTTGGCACAACTAAAGATGAAAATCAAGAATCCAAACAGAGCATCTGCTATTGGCATGCTTGCAACAGCTGAAATGGCAATACACAGTGGCAATACACAATGGAAAAAAAAGAAGCCAACACATAAAGCCTTGTTATGTTAGAAATCTGGAAGAGAGAAAGTGTCCTGCGAGCTGGTTTTCAAGTAACTGCGAATACCAACAGTTGATGTTCAAATCCTAAAATAACTAATTTAGTCATTTCAACTTCTGTATAGATAACCTCCTCCACAGACAAATAAAATGCATGAGAGAGAAAGATGGGGAAAAAAAAATAGACGGGTGTGGGCAAAGGAGTGATTTTAAGCTGCGATTCTTGGCAGTGAGATGAGCTCCTGCCAGCTTAACCAGCATTTGCAGAATATCGTAGGCCCAATCCAAACCCCACTTAAACCAGCAGAGTCTTTCCTAATAGCTGCACTGAGACTTGGAATTAACGACTGTTAAATATTACTGCATTTGCACAGCACTGCAAACAAAGAATATTTCAAAAGACTAACATCATTTCAGGAAAATACACTTTTTTGTCACTTGATCTGATCAACAGTTACATGCACCTTGGAGATACCGTTCCATGTGAATTCTTGAAAGAAACGGCCCACAATCTCAGAAATGGAATAAAATGTCCGTAAGCATTCGGGGGTTTTTCCTAGCTGCCAATTAAATAAAACAGATCCAAGAAGCTGCATTTAACCTTAGTCCCTATCGAGAAAAAACACCAGGTCTGGCTGCACCGGCAACCCTAACAAAAACCTGATTTAAGTCTGCTGTGCAGTACCAGCAGGCAGCTCTGTTCACAGAAACGCCTCAAACTACCGTTCCGAGCACTCTGCCTTCCTTCATCTGCCTTACCCCCTCCCGAAGAGAAAGAGCCACATGCTGCTCCCCACGCCGTCAGGAGCCCAAGCTACCAGCTCCCCCCCCCCGACCTACCCATCCTCTCTTCCAGGAACGGGGCTTTGTACACGCACTAAACCAGAACATAATAAACACAAGAAAGTTGGCAACTTATATAGTTAGATCGCTACATTAAACTATACAATCGCTAGCCAGTGCCAAATGTTTTCTTTCTGAAATTTACTGTTTGCCATGCTGCTGTAACAAGTTGACTCGTGAGTGTGATTTAGTGTAACCTATGGTTTTTTCCCTTCAGAACGTAAAAAAATGACTGCAACGCCGGGCACGTACTGCTTTTTGTAACCGCGTAAACCAGAAATCACACCCGAACTTTATCACGGGGCGACAATATGGACTTCCACTGCGGGTGCACATCTCCCCGTGCTCACGAACGTCACTTCCCCCGGCTGACGTGAGGACACACAGCGCACGGGACTCACCACCGAGGCCAAGAGCCCCCCGCGCCCCCGCCCCACA